GGAGGGGGCATGGGGCCCTTCCCTCACTGCCGGTCCTGCCAGTGGGCTGGGGCTGCCAGAGGCCCCCTTATTTCAACAAAAGTGTTGTCTGGATTTTTTTTTTTAATATTGGCAACTAATCAAAAATATTTTTTTTAAATATTATGAAGGCTAAATCAGCTTCTGGGCTTGACTTAATGTGAAAGGCACAGGTTTACATTCTGTGGTTTAAACCTTATAACAGACTTCATTTCCTTTGTTGTCCCACCAGCCTCCACACCCACATTGCACAGAGCACAACCTCACATCCACAGGAGACCCCATAACACTCAGTTTCTCCATTCATTCATTCATTCATTCACTGTCCATTAACCCGTCATATAGTCATTTATTTAAACCTCCTGGCAACACTGAGGTTAATCTCCATTTTATCCCAGCATCACTGATTGGCAGAGCTGGGATTAGATCCGAGGCCCCCTGGCTCCGGAGCCCATAACTTCTTTAGGCTGCGGTCCACTTAGAAGGTGTTTTATTATTGCCTTGAGCCCCATCTTTCAAAGATCTGACTGCTTCCCTGGAATAGTGAGTTCACAGAGCCAGTCAAGGAAGCCAGAATCTCCATTCCCCAGCAGCTGCTGAGCAGGTGACTTGAAGGTCCCTGAGGGCAGGGTCCTCGCAGAGGGAAGCCAAGGGCATGTGGGCAGGAAGAGGGGAGAGTCTGGGGAAGGGGAGGGCCAGGCCGAAAGCTGTGAGCCTCTGCAGGCGAGAGAACACTGACTCAGCTGTCTTTGCATCCACGGCCGTTTGCTTCCAGACCCACGTCTGTCTCTCTGCGTCCATGCCTCTGACCCTTATTGTCTCTCTCGGCCTCTTTCCTTCTCTTTGTATCTCATGTTCCTCTCTCTCAAGATGGGAATATTATGCGCCTCATCCTCACACAACAGCCTTTCCATTCAAGGTGCCTTCGACAGGGACAGGAACGGACTCCTCCAGTGAAGCCGTGTACCCCAGGGCCTGCCAAACCCCAGTCACAAACTGGTCAGAATCACAGACATCCTGACACTCCTTCTACCCCCTCCCTTCCCGTGGGGCCCTCCCACCGCTTCTGAGAGCAGCTGCGCAGTCATGCAGGGTGCTCGTTAGAGTGTGGGCTTCCTGGCCCCACCCCAGGGAACCGTTCCCCACGCCTGAAATGCAGCCTAGGCTCTTGCATTTTTAACCAGCACCCCAGGTGCTGAGCTAAGCTTATGCACCTTCTGGCTCCTCTGCCTTCTGTGCCTGACGTGTTCTTGGCCTCCCAGCATGTGCCAGGCATCGCACACAAATGCCATCTGGCCTGCTACCCCCAGCGTCTCTGGGAGGGGCCCTCAGCACCTGTGTGTTGCTGCTGGTGCTGCATCCCTGTGCTCAGGATGTCAAGACCGCCTGACTCCTGGTCTCCCAGCATCCTGTAGGGGCTTCAGTGGGGACCTGCTCTTACTCCCATAACATGTCTCTGTCGTTTCTTCCCAGAGAAGAGGAAAACGAAGGTAGAAATCGGGGGGACCCAGCTGCTCCTTGACCTCATCCTTCCAGGGCTTTGCTCATTAGCGAGGGTCAGGAGGTCCCATGGCCCTCTTCATTCTGTAGAGTCAGAATTCTGTTCGTTTCTGGCTCCATCTGCCGGCCTGATGCCTGCCCTGCCCCAGGCAGGGCTCTGAAAGGACAGCACCAGGTTCTGAGGTGGCCAAGGACCATGCCGTGGCCACTCCACCTGCTGCTCCTGTGGTCTTTTCTGGAATTTCACAAGTTTAGTTGCCCAGTAATAGGCCCCGCTCATCCCTCACCACTGCTCGGGTGTTCAGAGCCAGCTCTGGTCTTCAACCCGTGTTGAAGCCTGGGCAGGTTGGTGGAGGGACAGGATGGTTAGATTTTTTCATGGAAATGGACTCTTTCTCCCAGGCCCCAGAGTAGGTTGACTGTGCTCCAAAAGCAATGGGTCAGTCTGTCCCCCTCCAGCAGCATGGCATAGGGGCCATCTTCCAAGAAGCTGAACACATCTGTCCATGGGAGATTGAACGTCCAGGTCTTGCAGTAGAGCAAATGAATGTGAGCTACTTCTCTGGGAGAAAGTCCTCCACTCGGCAGTCACTTACTGAGCAGGTCCATGTCGGGGGAGCCGTGCTAGGCACCGGGAGAGTGAGACATACAGCTACTGCCTTCTTGCGACCCCCAGTCAGTGCAGCAGCTCATAAAGCTCTTGTGCCTGGAATCACCTGAGATGCTTAATATAGGTGCAGATTCCTGGGTCCCACCCCCAGGCTGTCTGATTAAGTAGATCTAAGTTGGACCCAAGAATGTGTATTTAATAAGCACTCCTTCCTTTCTGATGAAAGTGGTCTGTGGGTGACACACCGAGAACCACTGATCTAGTGGATGCATGAGAGCAGCCCAGGTCATGAGTTTGTGAGGGCACAGTCTTGCTAGATGGAGCCCCTTCCCTGTCAGATCCAGGACTTTGGAATTGGATCCAGGAGTTGGGGAGAGCAACTCCAGGGGCCAACAGATGTCCTGGAGCCCACCCACGCTGTCCTCCATGGGGACTTCAGGAAAGGCTGGGGGCTAAGAATGGGCCTGTATCCAGCAGTCTCTTCTAACCCCAAGGGTCTTGCCTCCAGGGGTGGTAGTTACTGAATTGGGCTTTACTGTCAGACATTCCTGGGTGCAGATCTTTGCTCCCAGGTTCCATGACACACCATCACAGGCACCTAGCTCTTCTCTGGGCTCTGGTCCCATCTCACCATCTCCTTTGCTGACTTGCCAGTCCATTCAGCCTTGAAATGCTGGATATATCCAGAGCTTGGTCCTGGGCCCTCTTTTTCATTCTATATTTTATTTTAAGATAGTGCATTCATTGGTTAGGGCTACCAAATCAAAGTCCCACAAACTGGCTTACTTAAACAACAGACATGTATTTTTCACAGTCCTGGAGTCTAGAAGTCCGAGATCAAGGTGTTGATCACAGTACAATGCTTGCAGAAGGTTCTTGGCGTGTATGTGTATCAGTGTGTCTGTGTGTCCATCTCCACAGGTACACGCCTGTGATTCCTCTTTCAGGGAGACGGAGGCTGATTCCTCAGGGCTCCCCCCTGATGCCTTCTCTCCCTTCAGGTTAAAGTTAAACAGTAAGAGGAACCAGCTGGTGAGAGAACTGGAGGAAGCCACCCGGCAGGTGGCAGCTCTGCATTCCCAGCTGAAAAGGTGAGTGGTGGGGACAGTGCTGTCCCGGGGCTGGCCAGGTGCAGATGTCCCACCTGCACAACACAGAGTAGACCTCAAGCCTGGGCCTTGGTGGGCAACAGGGTATTGCTGGAATTTCATAGCATTTGTTTTTGTCAGATATTTTAACAGTTGCCTTCTATTTGTAGTAAGTGACACTGCTTTTTCAGTTACACTTAGGATACAAAGTTTCCTTTCAAGATATGTATTAAAGCATAACAAACGGAGTTGATTTGAATTAAAATATTAAGAAGTGTTATTTCGGGCTCTATTCAAATATGGGAAAATATGAAAATGGAATGCAGCCAGCAGAGGTTTGGGAAACAGATATAGAGGGGGGAAATGAACTTTTAAGGCAGTTGGCTTGGGTTCAAATCCCAGCTCTGCCACTTTCTGATTGTGTAGCCTTCTCAGGGTATCAGTTTCCCCTTTAATGAAATGGGGATGTATGGTCTACCCTAGAGACTCTCGAGAGGGCCTAACAAGATAATGTGCTCTAAGTGCTTATGATGCTTCTCAGAGCCAGGCAGGAAGTCCCGGGTGTCCCAGCTGCTATCTGTGTTCTCACCCTCCGCCCTCTCCCTGCCCCCAGCCTCTCAAGCAGCATGCAGTCCCTGTCCTCGGGCAGCAGCCCTGGCTCCCTGGCGTCTAGCCGGGGCTCCCTGGCTGCCTCCAGCCTGGACTCCTCCGCCTCCGCCAGCTTCACTGACCTCTACTATGACCCCTTCGAGCAGCTGGACTCGGAACTGCAGAGCAGGGTGGAGTTCCTGCTCCTAGAGGGGGCCACAGGCTTCCGGCCCTCGGGCTGCATTACCACCATCCACGAGGACGAAGTAGCCAAGACCCACAGGGCCGAGGGCAGCAGCCGCCTCCAGGCCCTGCGCTCCCTGACCGGCACCCCGAAGTCCATGACCTCTCTGTCTCCGCGCTCCTCCCTCTCCTCCCCATCCCCGCCCTGCTCCCCTCTCATCGATGACCCCCTCCTGGCTGGAGACGCCTTCCTGAGCCCCCTGGAGTTTGAAGATCCGGAGCTGAGTGCCACTCTTTGCGAACTGAGCCTTGGCAGCAGCACCCAGGAGAGGTACCAGCTGGAGGAGCCAGGAACAGAGGGCAAGCCGTTGGGCCCAGGTAGAGAACACCACCTGCAGAGGGTGGGAGCCTCCCGGAGGGAGGGAGGTGGGAACTGTGCTGGGCCTGAGCACTGCCCCCAGTGATAATTATGGTCATTACTTACTACTTTCTATGTGCTAGATCTTTATGGCTTATCAATTTATTTATTCATTCATTAGATATTTATGTACTTACCGTGTTCTAGGCCTTGGGCTAAGGGTTTTCTGTGGTAGCTTCATTCATTCAACAGGTAATTATTATTAAGTATCTCTTTAAACTACATGCCAGGTCCTGTGCTAATGGATGTACATGGTTCATTCATTCAACAGATACGCCATGTGCCAGGCACTGAGATAGTCACAAGGATACAGAGTTCAGGGCAGGCAGGTCCCTGTTCCCATGAAGCATACATGCAAATGAAGACGGTTACTATACAGCCAGACCAATCAGTGCACTGGGAAGAAATTGAAATAGGGGATGTGATGGAGCCTTTCAGGTTGGGTTGTGAAGGAAGGTGGCATTGAATGAGGGTTCCACAGTGGGGAGGAGCCAGCCCTGGGAAAAGCAAGAGCTAAATCTCTGAGGCCAGAGCCAAGTGGCTGTGAGAGGGGCCCAATGTAGGGGGCCACCGACAGGGCTGGAGAACCAGGCAGAGTCTGGTCACGTAAGGCTTGTGGTAAGGAGTTTGGGTTTTATCCTAACTGCAGTGGGGATCCGGGTGACTGTTTGAAGCCAGGGGATGATAGGCTCTGACTCCCATTCTGCATAGGGTCACAGGGAACATGCTGGAGTGGACTGAGATGCAAGTTGGAATCCTCAAAATAGGCGATGCTGAGGATGACACTGAGAAACCACGTAATAAATCGTAACAGCTAACATATATTGGGAAGTATTACGTGGTGGGCTGTGTGCTTTATAGGGTGCAATAGGTTACTTGTACCCATTTCACAGATGAGGAAACGGTGGTTCAGAGAGGTGACATCACTTGCCATAGGTCTCCCACTCAGAAGTGGGAAAGCAAGGGTTGGAATCTGGGTTTCTTTTCTCACCCAAGAACCCAGCCTCTTTGTTGTCACGCTCCTCTCAGGATGCAAGCTGGCCCGGTGTGTCCATTTCCTGGGATGCTCCCAGTGCTCTCTGGCCCTGGGTGTGAAGGTCAGGACTGAGCAGGGGGCTCAGTAAGTTCGCCTGGGGCTCTAGCCATTCCTGGCTGTGACTTACTGAGTACAGGTGTATAAGACAATGGTACAGTTATGCATAGTTGCTCATTTAAACCTCACAACAACTCTGAGGTGGGTGCTGCTTTATCCCCATAATACAGATGAAAGAAGTGAGGCACAGTGAGGTTACATGACCTGTCCAAGCTCAGTGTCACAGCTAGGAAGTGGAAGAGTGAGAATTGGTGCCAGCTCTGTCTGCATTGGGCTCTTGCTCCTGGCTCCTTGCGTGGCCAGCTGGAAGCTGGACCCATCTCAGCATTAAGGCTACAGGAGGGCCTCCCCGGTGCCCAGAATGATCCATTCGTGTGCGAGGGTGGGCCAGTGGCAGCAAGGGAGGGAAGACGAGATTTCCTGGTTAATTAAAGGCTCTGTTGCGTGCCAGCTCTTCCTTAGCAGAGGAGCCGAGAGATCCCTGGGGCTCCCTCATCGGGAAGGGAGTCATGCTGAGTGCTCTCAAACGAAAATAGAGCAGGCTTCCTACTACAGCAGGTGGCAGCTTCAGAAAACGGGTCCCTGGAAAGGAACAGGTGCAGGCGGAACCTCTAATGACACTCAGACCTCAGCTGGGAGCCCGGAGTGACTCCCCTCCCCTCCTCCACAGCGTCCTTGGGGCTGTGGGCCGGAGATAGCCTGTCTCAGGATGGCGTTTCGGTCATACCATCTCCAGAACCTTCCCGCAGTGACTGATGCCAGGCTGAGCGCAGACACTAAGCAGGTTATGCGATTAGTGCTGCTGTTCAGTCAGCAGACAAATTAATCTCCTTAAGTGGTTTAGCAGAGGGTGGAGATGTGGGGTCTCGAGGCTGGAGGTCTGCGAGCTGCAGCAGGCTTGGTACCCAGGCTGGGAAAGGTGCACCCAGATGTCTGCTTGCATCTCCCGGGCTCCCTTTCCCCAGCCTGCAGTCTCTCTCCCATCTGCCCCCAGTTCCTGGCACACAGCAGGTGCTCAGTGGTGCTGGCTGTGAGGTCCAGGGACCTGAATGTGGCCTCCCCGCCGCATGGAGGGCGGGAGCTCTCCTATTCCTTCCGGTAGCTCGGAACTTGGCCGTGGGCCTAGCACACCATCGGTGCCCATGACTCGGGGCAAGAAGGGATGTGCAGCGTGTGTGAAGTGCCCAGTTGAGCCCCAGGTTGGAGACTTTTGAGCGCCTCCGTCAAGGGCCGGGAGATGAGCTGAGTTAGGAGTGGAGTGGGACAGCCAGTGCTTCAGTCCTTCCCGGCCCTCCCCTTGCCCTTCCTGAGGGCACAGGGCCTATTTTGCCCCAGGTGTGTAGGGATTCATCTAGAAAGCATGGGCATGATGTCACAGTAAGGATAGTGGTAACGAGTTTTGCAGAGCACTTTCCCCACACTAGTCTCTATGCTGCAAACTTCCCTCTAATGTCTTATTGAGTCTTTCCAGCAGCCCTACAAGGTGAGTATTCTCCCCACGTTACAGATGAGGGATTGGGCTTACAGGGGTTACTTCAGTGTCCAAATATTTTGAAGCAGTAAGTGGTGGAGCTGAGATTTGAACCTGGGCGACCTGACTCCAGCGTCTGGGATGTCAGACACAGACGCGGATGCTACCCTTTCCTCACCCCAAAGCGAGACAGCACCTGGCTGTCGAGTTCAGAGGTGGCTGGAATTTGTCAGGACCGATTTAGGCTGGAGAGTGGACAAAGACAGTACCCTGGTTTCTGAACCCCACCCTCCACCCTTTTCCCACCTCTTCCTCCAGCTGTGAATGCGGCCCAGGGGTGTGGCCTCAAGGTGGCCTGTGTCTCAGCTGCCGTGTCGGACGAATCTGTGGCCGGGGACAGTGGCGTGTATGAGGCTTCCGTGCAGAGGTGGGTCCCCAAGTCCTGGATCTCTGGGAACTCTGAATCCTCAGACTTTGGGCCCCCAAGGTGTGCGGGAAGGATCTATAGGAGGGCATTCCCGGGGGACCACACCTGCCCCAGCAGCCCTGTTTGGGGCTGTGCCTAAGATGCAGACAACTCATCTCCTCCTGGGGCTGGGGACACTTCAGATTTGGGAGAGCGCTAGTTTTGTGGTTGCCATTAAGGGGCATAAGACTAGGGGAGCACATACTAGAGAAAAGGGAGCCCCTCCAAAAGAGAGACCTGGAGCTGTCGGGAAGGCAGGGTCTGCAGGAGGGCTGGGCAGACCTGCCCAGACTTTTCGCCCAAAGGAGCTAACCACACCTTCCCGGACAGAACCCAGGTTGCCGCAAGGAGTCCTGACCGTCTTTCTTTCCCGTGTTGCCTTCCAGGCTTGGCGCCTCAGAAGCCCCTGCTTTCGACAGTGACGAGTCAGAAGCAGTGGGAGCAACCCGGGTTCAGGTTGCCCTGAAGTAAGTAACAGGGAGGTGGGGGCAGAGGGGCGTGGTATGGGCAGGCCCTTCTGCTTGGCGGCTTAGCAGCAGTTACCTTCCCGGCCGTCCAGGGAGGAAGGCAGAATAGCAGGCCCCGCTGACAGTTGTGGGCTCCTAATTAAAAGGGGGCCAGCTCTTTCCCTGCCTCCCGGCACCCATTTTACAAAAGAAGAAAATGAAATTTTGAAGACCCTGTTACTGCCCTGACTCATGGAGCTGGCCCTTGGCAGAGTCAGACCCAGACTCAGACCTGTTGCAGTGGCTTCTGTCTTATCCTTTCATCCAGGTTTCAGCCGCCTGGACCACAGTCACCCCTGGGGGCTGCAACCCAGATATGCTGTTCCTGTTTTCTCTTGATGGGGGATGGCCTCAATTTTTTTTTTTTTTAAGTTTGCCATTTTAACCTTTTTTTAAATTATTGATTTTAGAGAGAGGAGAGGGGGAGAGAGAGAAACATTGATCCGTTGCCTCCTGCATGTGCCCCCACTGGGGATCGAACCTGTTACCTGGGTGTGTGCCCCAACCGGGAATTGAACCCACCACCTTTTGGTGTACGGGACAACACTCCAGCCACATCGGCCAGGGCCTCAATATTTTTTTTATTAGGAATTAATTGCCAACCTTTGAACATTAGGAAATTTCACACAGACGTCTAGCTTCTCTTTAAAAATCCGGCTGGTAGCTCCCACCTTCCTGGATGGCGGTGAGGCGCGGGGCCTGTGTGCTCTGGCTCCCCACAGCCCCGGGCCTCCGGCAGCCACGTCTGTGATCCTGAGAGACAGACGTGTTACTCAGGGGCGCTCCATGTCCCCCTTTTTGTTGCAGGTATGACGAGAAGAATAAGCAGTTTGCAATATTAATCATCCAGCTGAGTAACCTGTCGGCTCTGTTGCTGCAGCAAGACCAGAAAGTGTGAGTGTATAGTTGTGGGGGTGGGGTGCGTGTCACCCCCCCCCCCCCC